GAATGCTTYCACACTGCTGGTGGGACTGTAAATTAGTACAACTGCTATGGAAATCAGTATGGAGATGTCTCGAAAGACTAGGCATGGAACCACCACCATACAGCCCAGATACCATTTCTTGGCATTTACCCTGAAGAATTAAAGTCATCTTACTATAGGGATAGATGCACACCCATGTTTAGAACAGCACAATTCACAATAGCCAAACTATGGAGCCAGCCTAGCTGTCCAGCAGTGGATGAATGGATAAAGAAAATGTGGTGTATAGACACTATGGAGTTTTTTCAGCCGTAAGGATTAATGAAATTATGTCATTTGCAGGAAAATGGATGAAAACTAGAGACCATCATTTAAGCGAAGTAAGTCAAACTCAGAAAGCTAAGTGTCAGATGTTTCCTTCCATGTACGGAAGCTGGAGGGGAAAATGGAAAACAAAGGTAGGGGTGGATCTCCTAAAAATCAAAGGGAGATTAGTAGAGGAAAGGGACCAAGGGGCAGGATGAAGGAAGGGGGGGGTAGTGGTGACATTGGGCAAATTATATTGTATGCATACGTGAATATATAACAACAAATCCTGTCAATATGTATGACTACAATGCACTAATGAAAAATAAGGAACAAAAAATCCTGTAGTTAACATGATTTTTTAATTCTTTTTTCTTTTTTAATGGCTCTCTGTAGTTATACATGACAATAAGATTCATTTTGGCCTAATTATAAAAGCATGGACCATAATTTTTTCTACTTCAGTTCCCAGTACTTCTTTTCCCCCTCCTTTCCTGTCTCTCCCTGTTCCCTTCTCTCTACTCAATTGATATCTCTGCTATTTACTTATAGTTTTTAAAATTAATGTCTCATGGATGTATATAATGCTGAGATACATTGTGGTATATTCCTACAGGTACACAGGACAGTTAGGTCAGATTCGTTCCACTGCCTTTCTCTATCCCATTACTCTTCCCTTCCTTTTATTCCCCTTTGTCTACTCCACTGATTGAGAAAAAGATATTCTATTCCACTCAGAGAGGTGATGGACTCTGTGGCTTACTATAGGGAAAGTGACTACTGAGACCTGGGGAATGCTCACAACGTTAGTAGCACAGCATTAGTGGTGGGTGGTTGTAATTGTGCTGGAGTAGTGTGCAATTGTGTGTGAAAGTAGAATTATGGGAGGTGAAATTGTATAACCAAGCAACTAATAATGGAGAAAGAGAAGCTCTTACCTAGAAGCCAAGCAGAGGATTCTCTTTGTTCTAAGTATACCTTAACTCATAATTTCAAATGATGGATCATGGTGATTGACTGCAAGGTTTCTCCAGGAGTAAATATAGATGGTTTGCAACAAACACTGGGAAAGAAAATTGACTGCTTTCTGAAGAGTTAAGGAGGCCATTTAGGAACCTCTTAATTCAGAACAGCAAGTGTTTTCTGCAGCTATGAATATATGGTCAGTCTTCGTACACAGGCAATGAAGAGGGATTGTTGGTTGTTTTCTTTGTCCGCCACATCTGCATACGCAAGATAGCAATCACTGTCTGTGGTGTCCTGTGTAGGTATTAAAGGAGCTTGATGCTGAGGCCTCTAAGGTGCTCTCTTGGCAAGTGTCWTGTGCAGTGCTCTGTGACAACTCATTTTCAGAGACCAACCCAAGCCACACTCATCTGTCAGTGGCCCGAGCGCTTGCCCACCCAAGATCATGAGAACCTTGCTAGAGAGATTCTCACAGGATTCTCTGTAGCACTAAAGGATAGCTCATGGAGAATCTATCAGTAGTCTGACCCTGAATCTGCACAAATGAGTTTGGGTTTTTCCACTGACCACACTCACCCTATCATTCAGGCTGACATGGACATACCCTACCGTTACCTCTGTGCCTTGTTAGAAAAATTACTCAGCTCAAGACTGATGCTCTAAGTTCCCTTGTTTGAAGCAGTGGACTAGCAGCCCTTTGATGATGAATCCAGTGGTTAATGAATGTGCAAAGTCTTTTTTGGAGAGGGCATACCACATTTGCTAACCTGCCCAGGGCTGTGCTGTGTTTCTTACCCTCTTAAACTGAAGAGTTTCTCACCTCAAACTTTTCCAGCAGACTATCCAACCTCTGCATTTCATTTAGCTTTACTCAACTCTCTGTACCTTTCTTTAGGGTCTTGATCTCTGAAGCTGACTAATCTATTCAATTCATCTGGCCCAAGATACGGAAGTCTAGGAATTCAACCTGAACTTTAATAAGGATTTAGTGTAAATAGGAAATTGAACCACAGGAGAAAGAACATCCTGAAATTTTGCACTTCTGATATTAAGTCCCCATTGGATCTGAATTTAAAATTCAATTATCAGAGGCAGCTCAGAGTAACTCAGTCACTATTCCTAATCACCTTTMGTTGTATATTCTCTTCAAGAGAGAAACATTCATAGATGATGAGCAATTCCCTGAAACTAGATAGATATTGAGGATAGGAAAATGGTTTCTTTCTCTCCCACCACCAGCTGGAAGTTTATTTAAAATAGAAAAAAATATATATATAGTAGGACACTAATTGTAAATGAAGTAAAAGACATCAAAAGGATCTTCCTCATTAGTTTAAATTGCTGATCATTACCATCAGAAAATGAGTCAGCCTAAAAACACATGTAATTGCACTCTTCCTGTGTTGTGGGAAGCCTAGATGGAAGAACTACATTATGAGAGAAGGAGAGGATAGACCATGGTGAGATCTGTCATAATAAAGAGATGGTTTTTTTTTTGTCACTACTGATTGAGGCCTATGATATTTGCTTGAGTGAATGCAAAGTGTTTGATGCTAGAAGGCTGACAGTCTGTCTGTGCCACATAGCCAATACATGGGTGATAGGCACTTATTGTCATTCCTGTGTGACCAATGGGAAGCCGAGGAATTGGAAGTTCTAATACTAGGATTAAGTGAATTGTTGAAATTTATGCAAAATTGTGGGACAGACTTTGGTTTATCTTGCTGTTCCCCTTTTCCACACTTCTTGATGCTTCCTTCTAATTGCACTATTCTCTTATTAAAGCTTTCCTTTGTGAAAAGGGCTGCTGATAGTAATACTTATGGGCAAATGTAAATAACTATACACCTATTAAGGGTGTCTTGAATATTCTTTTCCCTAATTAAAATACAAAAGCTCTGGGAAGCTTTGTTTCTCAAATAAGTTACAGGCATCAGTAATTAGCATGAATCTGGTAGAAGAAGGTAGATGGGAACATAATTTTTCTTAGAGTACCTAAAATCCCACCTTGAACTCGCTCTGGGCAAGTGGCATAGTTGAGAACAGGTGAAGGAGGAGAGAGAAATTAAGAGTCAAGGGAGGTGGGTAGGATGATTTGTAAAGTTTAGTCTTGTGCTTCAGAAAGGATAATGTAGTATATTAGTTTTAGAACAAACTAAAAGAGAAATACATAAGAAAATATATTCGATGTTATGCATACCCAAGCCAGGCCATAAATTTAGTTGTCTGAACATTTGAGCCTATAAGATTCAAACAAGTTTTCAGGCTTAGTATCAAAAGGTCATTAAAATTCCAGTGAACTAAAATGATGTTTTAGGATGTGGAATATAGGTAATTCTCTTGTACTGCAAAATTAAGCAAAAGATAGATGTTAGTGGAGTTTTTGTCTCCTCCTGTGCTGATGCAGGAGAAGAGGAGAGGCAAAGAGCCCTGTGTCTGTCATGCTGGAGAAGAGAACAGAGTCATCTCCACATACGCCTGATCTACTTCTTCATCATGCCCCACACCAGAAACACAGCCAGGCACTGGGCACCAATGTGGATTTCAGATGCTTTGCTGACATAATCTCAAATGAGTTAATTGAGAAGAGACTTTGGGTGGTGTTTCTCTAGTGAGACATTTTCTCTAATTTTAACTCTTAAGCTGTCCAGAGGTTATTATAATTTTGGAATTTTTATTTTTCAGACTTCTAGATATGTACACATCAATCATCAGAAATAGAGCTCACTAAGACTTATATGCATTCCACTATGTAAAATCTCAACCTTTTAATTTTATAAAAGATACAGCTCAATATATAAGGCATGCATATTCAATTTTATGAAACTTGTTTGAATTTCTATTTTCAGGCTTGGGAAGCTTCTGTTAAGATGACTTAAGAAATAAGACCCATTATATTCATACACAAAATTTGTAGGCATGGAGAAGTCAGAAAATGAGAATGCTCCACAAAGAAGCATATTTCACCAAGTAGGTAGAGTGAGAATACTTTCACCAGGGAGGAAGTCATCCTAGTTGCCTTATAGATACCAAGAAATACATCTGTTCCATCACACATTTTTTCTTTCTCTTCCTTCCTTCCTTCCTTCCTTCCTTCCTTCCTTCCTTCCTTCCTTCCTTCCTCTCTCTTCCTCCCCCTTTTCTCCCTCTTCCCTCCTTCCCTCTTTCCTTCCCTCCCTTCCTTTGTTTTGTCTATTTGTCCATCCGTCCATTCTTTCTTCCTTCCTTCCTTCCTTCCTTCCTTCCTTCCTTCCTTCCTTCCTTCCTTCCTTCCTTCCTTCCTTCCTTCCTTTCTTTCTTTCTTTCTTTCTTTCTTTCTTTCTTTCTTTCTTTCTTTCTTT